CCCCCCCCCCTCCCCCTTATGTACCCCCTTCTCCTGCGCAGGGGCCCCCCGAGGCGCACGCTGCTGCGGTGCGTGCTGCTGCTGCTGCTGCTGCTGCTGCTGCAGCAACTGCAGCAGCAGCAGACCCCGACAAGAAACTGCTGCACGCAGCAGACTGGGCAGCAAGGGACTTCAACACTGTGGGGCCCCCCGGGGGCCCCTCACCCCTCACGGACTTATCTTCTTTGCTGCAGCAGCTGCAGCAGCCGCAGCAGCAGCAGCAGCAGCAGCTGCAGCAAAAGCTGCTGGTGCCCGCGGGGCCCCAGTTTTCAGGACTTGTGGCGCAGCTGAATTTTCCTTCTTTTGGATCTATTAATATAATTCATGGAAATATGTTAGAACCTCTTTTAGGACAGCAGCAGCAGCAGCAGCAGCAGCAGCAAGAGCAGCAGCAAGAGCAGCAGCAGCAGCAGCGACTGCAGCAGCAGCAGCTGGTTGCGGACTGCACTGTGGTGCCCGTACCACCAAATATGATTCCTTACAGAGGGCTCGGTGAGCTGAACCCTAAACCCTAAACCCCAAACCCTAAACCCTAAACCCTAAACCCTAGGAGCTCAGTTACCCGCTGTTTGCCCCTTCTTTCGCACCTGAATTTGCTTTTCCTTTTACAATTCATTTCTTTCATTTAATCATTTTTATTTACTTACTTATTTATTTATTTTATTTATTAGGATTATCTGTTTTGGAAAGAGGCGGAGAAAAACTCCAAAAGTATTTATTTCAGCAGCTGAAAAAGAAGCTGCAGCAGAAGCAGCAGACTGAACTGCGTGAGCAGCAGCACCTGCTGCTGCTGTTGCTGCTGCTGCTGCTGCTGCTGCTCTTGTTGCTGCTCTTGCTGCTGCGATGCTGCTGCAAAGACTGCTGTCGATGCTGCTGTTGCTGCTACGGGCGTCGGTTTTTCTCTGCTGCTGCTGCTGCTGCTGCTGCTGCTCTTGCTGCTGTTTCTATCCGTGCTGCTGCTGCTGCTGCTGCTGTTTTTGCCTGCAGCAACATTTGAAGAGTATCCTGAAGAAAGTGAGGCTCATTTACAAACCCTAAACCTTAAACCCTAAACCCTTATTTTTGGCTGAGGGGCCTTGTGCGACAGCTCCATAGACCGCCTTAGCAGTTTAGGGTTTAGGGTTTAGCGTTTAGGGTTTAGGGTTTAGGGTTTGGGGTTTTCAGGTCGAGCTTACCTGCAAAGAGTTGCGGCCGAAGAAAGGAAGCAGCTGCAGCCAGGTGAGAATTGAGGGTTTTGAGTTAAATGCTTAGGGTTTAGGGTTTAGGGTTTAGGGTTTAGGGTTTAGCATGAGGGTTTAGGGTTTGCCATGACCGCTGCGAACTGCCTTTCACGTGAATAAAACCATTTTTGATTTTTATTTACTTGTTTATTATTTATTATTAATCAGTTAATTAACTAATTAATTAATTAATTTACTTATTTATTTCTTCATTTATTTATTTTTAAATTTAGGAGAAGTGCTGCTGACGCCTTCATTTGGGGCCACACAAAACTCTTCTCTTCTTGCCTTTCTAGCCATGCCCTACTACTGGCGTAAGTGCTGCTGCTGCTGCTGCTGCTGCTGCTTATGTTTCTGCTGCTGCTGCTGCTTGTGTTTCTGCTGCTGCTGCTGCTGCTGCTGCTGCTTATGTTTCTGCTGGTGCTGCTGCTGCTGCTTGTGTTTCTTGTGCTGCTGCTGCTGCTGCTGCTTGTGTTTCTGCTGCTGCTGCTGCTGCTTGTGTTTCTACTGCTGCTGCTGCTTGTGTTTCTACTGCTGCTGCTGCTGCTACTGCTTGTGTTTCTCCTGCTGCTGCGTTCGCTCCTGCGGCTGTTGCTGCTGTTGCTGCTGTTGCTCCTGCTGCTGTTGTTGCTGCTGCTGGTGCAGCAGCAGCGCTGCTGCGGGTTGCGTTTTGCTTCAGAGAGCAGCAGCGGGGAAGCAGCAAGACGGCTTAGTCACTGTTTTAGGGTTTGTTTGAAGCAGCTAAATCAATTAAATGTAAAAACCCTAATTGTCCCTTTTGTGGGGTTGGGAGTTTACGGATTCGAGCCAAAGAGAGCAGCTCACACACTCATTCAAGCAGCCATCGAAGAAATGCTCCAGGTTAGGGTTTAGGGTTTAGGGTTTAGGGTTTAGGGTTTAGGGTTTGGGGTTTGCTTTGGTGATTTGGGGTAGGGCTTTTTGTTTGCGTTGTTTAGTAGCTTCTGCATCCTGTTGCTGTGGTGTTCCTGTTATTTAAATGCATTCCCAGGGTTTAGGGTTTAGGCCTTAGGGTTTAGGGTTTAGGGTTTAGGGCTTGGTCCTCTCAAATGGGCTGTATAGCGGCTCATCCTGGGCCGTTTTCTCCCTCCTTCTCGCATCAAAAAAAAACAAAACAAATTAATTAATTAATTAATTAATTAAATATATTTATTTGTTTATTATTTATTTATTATTTATTTATTTATTAGGCAGACGCAGTAAACCCTCACTACAGCCTCAGCCGCGTGGACTTCGTCGAAAAAGAAATTTTAAATTCTTTTAAGTTGGCGGAGGCGCTGAAGGACTTGGAGGCTCTTTTCTCTTTCGAAAAACAAGTCCATTATTTAACTAATTAATTAATTAATTAATTGATTAATTAATTAATTTATTAATTTATTAATCATATTTATTTATTTATTTATTTGTTTGTTTGTTTGTTTATCTGTTTATTTGTTTTATTAAATTGATTAGTTATTTTGGTTTTTTGTTTTTCATATTGTGTTGTGTGTAGGGGCAGCCCCTTTATTATTAATTTATTTATTTAATTTAATTTAATTTAATTTAATTCAGTTTAATTAATTTAATTAATTTAATTAATTTAATTTAATTGATTTAATTAATTTAATTTAATTTAATTTAATTTAATTTAATTTAATTAATTTAATTTGATTTATTTGTTTTTGTTTTAGGTTACAACAGCCCCCCAGTATTACAGCCAGCAGCAGCGGCGGCTGCTGCAGATTTCAGATTCTCTTCTTTACTTTTGCAAAAGGCACACGAGGGTTTCTTTTAAAAAGGTATTAGGGTTTAGGGTTTAGGGTTTGGGGTTTGGGGTGTGGGGTGGCCCTACTGGCCCTACTAGGGTTTAGGGTTTTGTCGTCTTTAGGGTTTAGGGTTTCCGTCATTTTTAGGGTTTAGAATTTAGCTCATACAACGCAGATGCAGCGCTGCTGCAGCAAAGCTCCGTGCTGCAGCAGAAGCAGAAGCAGCAGCAGCAGCAGCAGGGCCCCA